GCCGAAGGCAGTTGCTTAACCAACTGAGCCACCCAGGCGCCCCTCTCTTTTCAGTTTTGAAGAACATGCTCACATAACCAGGATTGATATTATTTATTTTTATCATTAAATTAATTTCAAAACTGAGTGTAAAGATGTGACACATTTTTCAAAATTCCCTGGAAATACAACAAAAAACAGATATATATCACCAAAATCTACATTCTTAAACACACTATGATCAAAATTTCTGCATCCAGACACGTGCTATGATCACATCACCTTCTGTCCTTATTTGGTTTGCCACTTGTGAGCATAAAGGCCAGTCCAAGTAGCAGGCTCAGCAAATTGCATTTGTCTTGGTTTAATAGGTGTACTTAACTAGAAATGAACAAAAGGATAGTATAGACATTTTAAAGGTTGATTCACTGGGTTTTAATAAATTATCCACATCTCAATAAGTGGACTCAGGTTTAATGATGGTGTTTGTATATAATTTTATTTTTTCAGCAATTATATGAACACTAAAAAGCATATATTTTCCATGTAAAAAAAGTAAATATGGACACTCAAACTAGTCAACAAGTATATATTAGTTGCCTACTATATGCCAGGCATTGTGCTATACCCACAACCTTTTAAAAATTTGTTGTGATCTTTTAGAAATGTGAAAACTCTTTGTAGCTAGTTTTGGTTAAACTGCAGCTGAAAAGAGAAAATATGGAGTTTATTTTTTATCATGTGTTGCTGAACAACTGCCGAGTAAACAAAACAGAAAACATAGTTAAGCTCCTAGTTAAATTCTTTTCCAGTCTGTAAGTGGATGTGTCAACAGTGAGGTAATCAGAAATTTCTACCAACCACACCATTGCCCCCGAAAGCCTGGAAGTACCATAGACATTTTGGGAACATTTAATCTTGCCCTGTTGCTGTGATTTATTGCTTACTCATTAATCTTCTGTGGCACAGTTCAGTGGCAAGCTCCAATGTAGCTCCAGACTCACCTCACTGAGTTCTGGAAACATTAGAATTGAAAAGTAGAAGATGATGAATTAGGCTAATTAATGACACTGGGAGTGAAATACCAGTGTCATTCAGAACCTGGAAATGGAGAAACGGCTTACTAATTGAGGTTGAAATTTTCACAGGCTTTGTTTCAGGCTGGAGAACTGAAATGGGGGACAGATGAAGAAAAGTTTATTACCATCTTTGGGACACGAAGTGTGTCTCATTTGAGAAGGGGTGAGTGAAAAGAATGTGTACGGTACAGGTACTGTGTGGTTAATTTTGAAAGTACGGAAGCCAGTATGCCAAAATATGTGCTTTATAATAGGCACTTCCTGAGTGAATCGGTTTTTGTATTTCTTCCTATTGGTAACCTTGAAAAATCTCATCATTCTCTTTGCTGCTATTGTAGTTTTACAGAACTAGAGATCCTTAGTCCCCCCTTTGCTATCAGGGTGACGAGGGAGCTAGGCCTCTAGATTGTTACTCTCATAGTCACTAACTGCTGAGCTGTGGCTCACTTCAAGCATTTCGTCCTAAATAGTGGCACCCATGATCTCTTCTCTAGGTATTCATCAGTTCTTGTGGTATCAGGTGGGAAAGAGCTCAGGTGACAGGAAACCCTACTAATTGGGGCCTTAAACACATGGCTGATTTGGCAGGACCTGGGTGGGCTCTCTGTTTTTCTGCTTCACTGTCCTTGGTGTTTTGGGGTTTTCTTTCTCATGCCCTGTACCTGATTGTCACAGGAGGGCTACTGTAGCCCCAAATTTATCAACATTAACAGCAAGAAGAAAAGAAAGGGGTAAACTAATCCTATCTGTTTATCACTCTTGATAAGGAAAGATTACTCAGAATCCTCTCTAGTAGATTTACCTTTGGGTCGCATTGGTTATAACTAGTAAGTAGAGGCTGGGAACTCAGTGAACAAAGAACCTTTATAATCCATTATTTAGGGGTTGGGTATATTGAAGCTCTGTGACAAAGTCAGGGTTCTGTCGGCAAGGAAAAAGGGGAGATTTGTATTCAGTGGGACAATACCTGGTTAGTGTAAGTATCTTCTTTCTGTACAGAATAATCCTTACATGATTGAGAAATCATTTTCCTTTTTTATAGTGTTTGATAAATACATGACTATATCAGGATTTCAAATTGAGGAAACCATTGACCGAGAGACTTCTGGTAATTTGGAGCAACTACTCCTTGCTGTTGGTAGGTGGTTTTACAATGTATATAATATTAATGGTGTTAAGAGCTAAAGTGTTTCATTCAGTTGAAGCTCTATCTGAAAATAACCACTTCTGTCTTTATGAAGAGCTTATTATGATTTTTGAGTGAAGCAAACTCCCACATTTCCAAATCAAAGTCTGTTTTGATATTGGAAATACATGATTATCTGGTTAGTTCATCTAATCCTATGGAAATACTAAAGCAACTGTTTATAAAAATCATTTTGAAGCTTTATTAAAAATATTATTTTATTTATTTTTTTAAAGATTTTATTTATTTATTTGACAGAGAGAGACACAGCGAGAGAGGGAACACCAGCAGGGGGAGAGGGAGAGGGAGAAGCAGGCCCCCCCGCAGAGCAGGGAGCCCGATGTGGGGCTCGATCCCAGGACTCTGGGACCATGACTTGAGCCAAAGGCAGACGCTTAACGACTGAGCCACCCAGGTGCTCCCAAAATATTATTTTGTTATGAATCTGAAGTGTGGGCATTATCTCAGAGGCTTGTGAATATTGTTTCTGATACTGGGTGGAATTGTAATATCCTTTTGAATACTGTCCTCACAGCTTTGAGGCAGACTGAGAAATTGGCATCTGAGCTAGAAAAAGTGTCTTTTGTATGATGGAAGATGTGATGATGGTTGTTTTCAGATTACTTTGGAAATTTGTTTTAGCTAAATATTCAGAATGATCTGGAAAAATTGGAGAACTGAGTTTGTGCAGTTTATGGTAGTATTATATACTGTCAAAATCCAGGGAGAATCTAGTCTGTGAGTTCCCAGGGACCCTAGTTTTCATATGGGTTTGGAGTGAACGTCTGTTTGTTCTGAGTATTTGGCATTGAGCTCGAGTTTTTGTACTGTCCTCTGGAGAATAAGCTAAAGCTGTGCATGAACCGGCACTAATAGTAGCCTTTGATTTGAGTTCCACACTTAATGAATTTTAATAGAAAACTTTCACACAACCCCTTCATAATTAGAATACACTTAAAATAATGACGTTTAAGCACTGGAAGAGAGAGAATAACTCCACCCCCCAATTAATGAATTGTTATTTCTGTATATTAAGGAATTTTTATAGGGATAGTGTCTGAAGCTGAGCTGACTGAGGTCTGAGCAGCCCTAACACAGAGTAGATACATGTTCAGGGAAGATACTCTTTTCTGTTACCAGTTTATCTGGGTGTCTCTCCTGAATTGGGTAAGTCTCGTGCTGCTCTATGTAAATCATGGGTAGTAAGGAGTCTGGAGAGAATACCTAGGGTAAGATTACAGAAAAATAGTCCCAAGATTTGTCAAAGATTAGATGGAGTGGGTACCTTGTGTTATTTGCTTGAATATGTTGGATCAAAAACTTCCAGGTTGTTTGTATCCTTTCCTGAGGGTGAAGAAGGTTGTGGTGTAACAGCCCAGGCTGCCCAAACTCTGATAGCGGAAAGGTGCTTAGAACAGAGGGGTGTTGAAAACCTCACATGTCCTGTCCTACACGACTTTCTCTGCAGAACTCGGAACTTTAAGGAAATTCCATCCCAGTTTCTAAGAAAATACTTGGTGAATAAGGAAATCAGATCAGCCTGCAAATGAGCAGTTTTTTAGCATAGGTTATTTTTATGCTTGTAAATAAGTAGAGCAATAAGCATGAAGCAAGTTTTGATTTTTAATCACTAATTCTTTTCTTATCAGTATAGCATCTGACCATCATATTATTTATTTTCTTAGTGAAATCTATTCGAAGTATACCTGCCTACCTTGCAGAAACCCTCTACTATGCTATGAAGGTAAGTGCATATCTTGAATCTTCCATCTAATTAATTTATCTTTCTAGCTATCTTTCCCTGTGTATTATGATTTAAATGATAGACTTTGATTTTTTTTTTTAATTCTCCTTAAAACATGCAGTTCAATTCTACCAAATTGTTTTACTTTATCAATTCATCTTAATTCAGGGAAGTTTGATGCTCTGTTTGACATTTTGAAACAGTGTGCCTCCCTTTTTTTCTTTCTTATAGGGAGCGGGGACGGATGATCATACCCTCATCAGAATCGTGGTGTCCAGGAGCGAGATTGATTTGTTTAACATTAGGAAGGAGTTCAGGAAGAATTTCGCCACCTCTCTTTACTCCATGATTAAGGTAGTAGGACCTTTCTTTAAATTATGTTCAGAAATCCAGAGCAGACCAATAGATAGCATGTAAGACAAGAGATGGGAGAACCCACTTGTATAAAGTTTCAAATTTTAGTGGCGTGATTAGAGCTGTGACTTATAAAGCTTGGCTTATAATATTTCCTTAAAGTACAGATGTTGGCTCCCAAGTGAAAGATGGACTCTTGGTGAGGCTGAGGCTCTTGGGGAGCTTAGGAACATCATTTAGTAGTGGTGACAGATGACTCATCAAACCCAGCCCCCGCCCCTGAAGATAATGTGTTTGTTCTTTCTCTCTTTTATCAGTTCCAGGTGTCCTTATCAGTGCCTCCTTCCTTTTACTTCGATCTTTCTTTATTGTCTGTTATCACCTTGTCTCTGGTATTAGTTCGTAGTTCAGGAAAGAACCAGCCAGGTCATATCAGAAATAAGTAAAGAGTTTAGGTATTACTATCATTTTTGTCTTTTTAAAAAGCTAGGCAGACTGTGGCCTATGTTTAAATTTGGCTTAAGGCCTTTTGACTTTCCTCTCTTTCTTTCTTTTTTTCCCTTTCTTTTCTCTCTCCTCTTTTGATAAAAGGGAAAGTGGGCCATATGCAAAGCAGGATCTCAACTAAGCAAGCTTTGAACTTTGTGTGTAGGTGTGGCTGGGTTGAAGGGCACTAGAGACTTCTCACATGCACTCTTTGCTTGAAACATTAATTTATCATACATATCTCTGTGTAAGATAAGCAGAGGTAAAGCATATCCTGCCCCTCTGTCTTTGAAGCAAAAACATAAGAGCCACACAGTCCCAGGATTGCCTCCCTTAGCCAGACACATAGTATGTGATAGTAACTTAAAGGTTTAGAAAGCTCGGTTTGAATGTCATTGTAAAAGCTTTCTTGTTCTCTGCGTTACCAGAGGGAAGAACATACTTCATTGTCTCAGAGCTGTGCCTTTAAGGGGTAAAATTAGAAAGTTAAACACATGTTACATTGGTAGGAAACTCCTTGTATAACATTCCTGATGTGAAAGTCACATACACAGAGATTATCCACTTGGGAGCAAAGTCACATGAACAAAACTTGTTGCCAGACACTTAGTTTTTGATTTTCTGCAGCTTCTGTGACTCATGGAGGGTAACGGAGTACATTCGGGTTTCAGGGTGATACGTCTGGGGACTATAAGAAAGCCCTCTTGCTGCTCTGTGGAGGAGAGAACGACTGAGGTACCAGCTGGAGAGAGATCCTGCGCTGAGCTGGCCACAGCCGCCGCGACGCTGGCGACCTTCCTCAGCCTCTCACTGTGCTTGCTTGTATGCCCGTGCCTGACGCATTGCCTTATTCATAGTAGCGTGCTAATGACCAAAACATACATGTTGCAGAAGAAAAATAGCGGTGCTTCTTGCTGATGTTCAGTAAAGCTCTTTCTCTTTGTCTTTTGTAGTACTGAAGCGTACTTACGTTACTAAAGTCTAAAGCCTGGGTCATTTAGATTTTCTTTTAAGAGATCCGACTGCTTTTAGCCTTTTTAAAAAACTTCATTTATATTAAATTGATAACTGTATTTCCTTAATCGGAACCTTAGCCTTAAAATGATGAACTCCTGGAAGTGTTATTAATCAAGTTTGCTACTAAACTAAACCTGAAAAATTACGGTGGTTGCATTAAAAGATTAATGAGAAATAAACATTTCCTTCCCCCTGACTCGTGTGGGTGTGTGTTCAGAAAAACTTTTTAAAAATTATTTTTATTTGACTATGGTTGGTACAAGGTTCCTTTAGTTTCAGGTTCTCTGTGCTGCGCTCTCCACAAGATGGCCACCATCTGTCACCATGTGACACTGTTCCAGTATCATTGACCGTAGTCCTTACGCTGCTGCTTTTATTCCTGTGACCTAGTCATTCTGTAACTGGGAGTCTGTGTCTCCCACTTCCCTTAACCATCAGTTTGTTCTCCGTATTTAGGTCTGATGCTGTTTGTTCGTTCAAACAGTGCTCCAAAGACAGAGGGGGGCAAGATATGCTTTACCTCTGCTTATCTCACACACAGGTGCTGTTTGTTCATTCATTTGTTCTTTAGATTCCACATATGAGTGAAATCAGATGGTATTTGTCTTTCTCTGTCTTATTTCACTGAGCACAATACCATTAACAATGATACCTTTCTTCAAGCTATATATATATATATCACTGTGTAAGTTTAAAGTATACAGTACAATGAATTGATTTATATAAATTGCAAAATGATTACCATAATACATTTGGTTAACACCTGTCATCTCATAAAAATTAAAAAAAAATTTTTTTTCCTTGATGAGAACTCTTAGGATCTGTCTTTCAAATATACTGTGTAGCAGTGTGAACCATAGTCATCACATTGTACATTACATCCCCAGTACTTACTTATCTCAAAACTGGAAGTTTGTACCTTTTGACCACTTTCATCCAATTACCCCATTCCCCATTGCCCACCTCTGGTGACCACAAATCTGATCTCTTTTTCTATAACTTTGGTTTGTTGATGTTGTTTTTTTGGATTCCACATGTGAGCTCATAGAGTATCTTTTCTGTGACTTACTTCACTTAGCATAATGTCCTCAAGTTTCACCCATGTCACAAATGACAAGATTTCCTTCCTTTCTATGGTTAAATAATCTGTTACGTATCACATTTTCTTTATCCATTCATCCACTGATGGACAATTAGGTTGCTTCCATGTCTTGGCTATTTGTAAATAATGCTGCAGTGAGCATGGGTTGTCTCTCAAACCTTTGTGATTGTCCAAGCAGCCTACTTTTGTTCTTAGTGGCTCCCAGGAGTTGAAGGTGTGCCAAGACCTGTCAGTATCGTAGAATGGGGGATCTCAGTTATTACCTAAATTGAGGCTGATTGGAATCCAGACTCTCAGCAGCTTTTAAGGTATGCAAAAATACCTTTGTCAGGGGAAGACTGAGAGATGGCCATTTCTGTTTGCCTCTTTGCTCTTTGCACTGAGTCCTAGGGTGATGGCCAGTTAAGAACTGTTTCTTAGTTTGGTACTCTCGCATTGAACTGGTGAACAAAGCCTTTCTGGCCTCCAGAGCCAGGCTATCTGGAGCGTTAACCTGGAGTGGGGCAGAGGGAGGGAATGAGGATGGCACCTGCCAGTCTGCCTGATTGGTGGAGAGAACTGTAGTCAGCCTCTCGGTGTCTATTTGATTAGAAGCTACCCCATAGGCCACAACAATAAAGATTAGCTAATAGGCCTCTTTCGCAGAAAGACTGGGCACGTGTTTCGCTCTGCTAGCTCTGTGCTATGCCCGGGGGCTGGTAGCTGGTGGAAACTATTTCTCCATTTGTAACAGCCCTTCAGGCCCTGTGAGCACAAGCCACACTGGCCACCAGAGCCAGGTGATCAAGAGGTATCCCCTGGTGGCAGCTGTAACAATCAGACGAGTGCACAAGCTCCCACCCAGGAGCACCAGTGAGCCAGAGCCAAGGGGTGGGAGGCACAGAGAGAGTGCCCATTGCAGCCTCTGTCACCCGAGAGCACCTCAGTAGGCCTGGGGGCTGCTAAACCAGAAGGCTGCCCCTTAGGCAGAAGCTCTAAGACAAGCAAATAGGCCTCTTTCACAAAAGGATTGAGGGTGGGTTTCAGTCTGCCCTCCCTGTGCTTGGGTGTGGTAGCCAGCCCGCACCATCTCTTCTTTGATCCAGACCCGTGCTTCCCATGACCCTGAGCCCCGCTGGCCGCCAGAGCCAGGTGATCAAAGGGTGTCTCCTGGGTGGCAGCCTTGAAAACGGGGGCACCGGAGATCCTGATCACACAGGGGGGGAGTGAGAAGACAGTGCCAGTCCTCTGAGTGCTTTGGAGAGGATTTTTTTTTTAATTTTATTTAAATTCAATTAATTAACATAATGTATTATTTGTTTCAGGGGTACAGGTCTGTGATTCATCAGTCTTCTATAATACCCAGTGCTTTGGAGAGGATTATAGTCAGCCCTTAGGGTGTGTGTTTAATTGCAAGCCTGCCCCTCCGGCTGCAGCTGTGATGAGACCTACTAGGCCTCTCACAGATGAGGCTCCCCTGTCTGTCGCCTCTCTACTGTCCCCTGGGGGTGGTGTGCAGTTAAGAACTCCTTCTCTGTTGCTTACAGTCCTTTGAGACCTACGGGCGTCAGCCCTGCTAGCCACCAGAGCCGGGTGATCTAGCGGTGTCCCCTGGGTGGCAGACGCACACACCGGGACTTCCCAGGAGTGGACACGTGCCTTTCTGGGAGTTACTGGGGACCTGGAGTGAGGCAGAGGGAGAGCGCAAAAGTGGTGCCTTGCACACCTCCCTTTTAGGAGATGATTTCCTTAGATGTGCGTTAAATTAGATGCCTGCGCCTCCGTGCTGATGCTTTAAGATAAGCAAAATAGGCCTGTTTCACAGAAAGTCTCGGTGCTTTTTGGTTCGCTGCCTCTGTGCTGGCTCCCGGAGTGGGTGAGCCCGCATGGGCCCTGTAAGAACTGTGTCTCGGTTCGCCAGAGCCTTGTGGGTCCTGTGGATGCGAGCCCTATTGGCTTTCACAGCTAGATGTTTTAGGGGCTCATCTCTCAGGTGCAGGGCTTAAAAGTTGGAGTGCTAACTGTGGGGTTCAAACCCTGTGCTTCCCAGGGGGAGGCTCAGGGTTGTGAGTTCCCTTGCAGCTGTGGGTTGTAGCTTCTCCTTCCAGGGGTGTGGTTTATGGGGAGATTGTGCTGGTCTCTCCCGCCCATTCCCAGGTGGGTTTTTTCTTGTTTGCCCAATGCATAGCAGTCACTCAGCTAGTTTTTTGTTTTTGTTTTAGAGAAAGAGAGCACGAACAGGAGGAGGAACAGAGGGAGAGGGAGAGAAGAGAGAGAATCTTGAATAGACTCCATGCTGAGCTTGTAGCCTAACTCGGGGCTCAATCTCACGACCCTGAGCTCATGATCTGAGCCAAAATCAAGAGTCGGATGCTCAACAGACTGAGCCACCCAGGTGCCCCTTTGGGTTTTTTTTTTTTTTTTTAGAGGAAATTATTCCATATATAGTTGTAGATTTGGTGTGTCTATGAAAGGAGATGAGTTTTCTTCTTTTTTCTATTGATAAGGTGAATTATATCAATTGATTTTCCAATGTTAAGCAATCTTGAGTTCTCAGGATCAATTCTGCTTTGCCATGATGTATTATCATTTTAAAATATTGCTGGATTTGTTTTGTTACTATATTTTTGAGAACTTTTTCTGTGTTGATGGGGCATACTGGCCTGTAGTTTTCTTTTCTTGAAATATTTTTGTCTAGTTTTGGTATCAGAGTAATACTAGCCTCATAAAATAAGTTGGGAGTGTTCCTCCTGTCTGTGTGAGAATTTGTGTAGACTTGGCATGAAAATTTTACTTATATGTTTGGTAGATTTTCCAGTGAAGTCATTTGGGCCTGGAATGTTTTTTGGAAGGTTTTAAACTGAAAAATCGAATACATATAATTTTTTTAATTGAAATGAAATGTTTACTAAAAATCTATCTCAAAATTAATCATTGCACATCACTGGGTGTTGGCAGAATACTTGAGAAATAAGATGCCCTAAAATATTCTGTACTGTATTTCCAATTGTTATAAACAATTTTGATCATGTCAGTCTTTTTTTTAATTTAAATTCAGTTAATTAACATACAATGTATTATTTGTTTCCAGGGTACAGGTCTGTGATTCATCAGTCTTATATAATAGCCAGTGCTCATTACAACATATACCCTCCCCAATGTCCATCACCCAGTTACCCCATCCCTCCACCCGCCTTCCCTCTAGCAACCCTCAGTTTGTTTCCTATGATTAAGAGTCTCTTATGGTTTGTCTCCCCCTCTGGTTTTGTCTTGTTTCATACAATTTTTAATACATAGACATCAAATATATATCTATATATAGATCACAAACTTAGTGGCTTAAAATAACACAAATTGTCGTATAGTTCTGGAGGTCAGAAGTCTAAAATAAGTCTCAGTGGTTTAAAATAAAGGTGTTGACAAGGCTGTGTTCCCTTCTGGAAGCTCTGGGGGAGAATCCCATTTCCTTGTCTACTTCAGCTTCTAGAGGACACCTGCATTTCTTAGCTCTTGGGTCCTTCCTCCATCTTCAAAGCCAGCATTCACTTTAATTTCTGCTTTCTGTCCTCACATCTTTCTCTTACTCTGACTCTTTTCGTTTTGAAGGACCCTTGTCAATTACATTGCCCCCTGCCCCATAATCCAGGATAATCTCCCCATCCCAGGATCACATCTGCATATTCCCTTTTGTCATAGGGGGTCACAGATTCTGAGGGTTAAGACAAGGACATATATATTTTTTGAGTGGGGGACATTTTATAGATGGTTTTAGGAAATGATTTTGTAGTATACACACTCTGTTAGGGTAGTAGTGCTGCTCCACATCCTCCGCGTGAGCAGAACTGCCATATAGTAGATGCCTGGGAAAAGCATTTCTTTACTAGATTTTTTTTTTTTAGATTTTATTTATTTATTTGACAGAGAGAGCACGAGCGAGAGAGTACAAGCAGGGGGAGCGGCAGGCAGAGGGAGAGGGAGAAGCAGGCCCCCTGATGAGCATGCAGCCTGTCCTGGGGCTTGATCCAGCTCATGACTGGGAGCCAAAGGCAGACGCTTAACCAACTGAGCCACCCAGGCAACCCTCTTTACTTGATTTTTTGACTTGTATTTCATTTC